TCTCTCTCTCTCTCTCGTGTTATGCCAGTGTCAGTCTACTCCTGAGGTTTACATATAGCGCTTTTTATTTCTTGTTTTGACATGAACTTTGGCTAAGTTCCTTGGTCTGTGCTTCACCTTGCAATCTTCCTGCTTCAGCTTCCCAAGAAATTGAGATTCTAGGCTTGAGTCCCTGGACTAATAATTGTGAAAAGTATTTATCCTACAGTGGGTACGCTCTGGCCAAGATGTTCCCCTTTAGGTGTTCATGTTAGTGCGAGGTTGTACTATCTCTGAGGGAGGATTAAGCAAAACAACAGCAATCACCAGCCATAGATTAATTTAAGAATTTATGCACAGTAAGTATTTCATATTTATACACAGTACAGAAAAAATCATTGCAAGACCACATATACAAATTTTTCCTCTATTCCTTGAGTTTGCTGTTAACTCTGAATGTATTTACATGTTTATCAGGAAAGTATTTATCCCATGTTTTTTGTTTAATAAATTATTTCTACAGCTATGTGTGGAATTGTCTGTTAATTGCTTATTGTTGTTTAGTATTATTTTGTGTCTTAGTATAAAAAATGTAAGGACTGGAGTGATAGCTTAGGAGACTCAGCTCCTACACAGGCAAGTGCAGCGACAGGGGTTCGGTCCCCAGCACCACGTGCAGTGCCGGCCCCGCTTGCAGGGTACACTGAGCTGGAGACTGAGTCCGGGTCTGGAGGTGCACACCTGTAACCCCAGCACTGGGCAGGCTGAAGACAAGAGCATTGCTGCGAGTTACAACTGTATTGTGAGAACAGCTGTATAAACCATATAAATATCAAAGATATCAAAAAATAAAAAAATGGAGTATGCTTATCAAAGATATAAAAATACATCAGATATATTTTAAAAAGCCAAAATGTAATTTACTCATGTGCAAAACTTCTATATTGAGAAATGTTTTCTGCTTTCTTCCTAGAAATAATAAATAAGAAATTTACTGGTTTTTGAGTTACTACTATTTTCCTGATAAAGTAGAATGGCCTCAAATATAGATCTTTTGTTATTTCATCTCTGCCTAGATTATTTATCCAGATTACACAAAAACATGATGAGCATGATGACAAATGTAAAACCAGACGGGGAAAAATGGTGAGCTACAGACAAGAGATGACTTAGTACTAGATAGCCACGTGGGTGGGATGCCTCCCATCGACAGGGCGCCTGTGGGTAGGTTTCTTTGTGCTTATGAAGTGTAATGTACGTCATGGTCAGTGCAAATATTCTGCCTGGTGTTAAGCAGAATCCATTTTAACCTCCACTATGCATTGCTAGGATAGGCTTGTCACAAATTACATTTTCTGATTTTTGTTTTATTGCAGATAAGTTAATTCCACTTCTATATTCCTTGGCCTCTAGTATTTCTATCCTGAAGACTACTTTAGACTGTAATGAGCTACAATGTCTTTACATTCCCAAAATACAAGGCAGATCATTCTTCTGGGGATTGTAAGTATTGAATAGTATAATTCCTGTTCTTGGGATCTAAAAGTGCTGTGAAGGAAAACAGAATTTAGAGATGGAATGAACTGGACTTGGAGTAAGGAAACCATTTTGGAAAGATGTGGGGCTCAGCCTCTCCATTCACCAGGAGTGTTTCAAGTGCTGTGCATTGACTGAAACGTTGCTATTACACAGATGGAGAATCTTTTCTCAGCTTTCTCTTCCTGAAATTATAATGGTTACCGGCAAGCAGAAATGATAATGTATCATTTCAGAAAAAAGATAACAAAAACTAAAATTTACAAATTACAAGGAATACTAGCAGAAATAGCAGATTTACAGTGAGAGACGTTAGGTGCAATTCTTCTGGGTAACAAAAAGGCAAGATATTTGCAGCAAGAACTATTTTACTAACATGGAATATCAATAGACCTTTCGAAACACAACTCTTTCATTCTATTCAGATTTTATAATGTTTTTGTAAATGTATTTTAAAAATTTTTAGGAATACATGTTTTGCTATAGATTTTTCTTTAGCCAAGTAATATAATGATCTGTCAATCTATGAAAAATTTTAAGTAGTGGAAAGGAAATTGCTCCATGGAATCCATCCTCCACGTGGTTATGGGTCACTTGAACACCAGCATTCTGAAGTCTGGTGACATACATGAGTCCATCATCTCTTAAGACATCATATTGACACGTGAGGACATACGTGAGGGGTAAACCACGCAGCTTGCTGTCATCTGCCAACAGAGGTGTTGCCCTCACATCTAGGAACCCAGGATATTTTTGAGACAATTCAGGACTACCATATATTGGGTTGTCATAAGTATGTCCTTTTCTAAACTTCTCAGGGAGCAAGGAGCTCCAGTTAACAAACTTGAAGAGATGACTGTATTCCTCAGGTACATGCTGATTGGAAAACATGGCCTTTTCCAGTGCCCTGTCTGTAGAAAAGTATTCACTCCAGTACCTGAGCATGAGCGACTTAGACAGAATTGGCATTTGTTCATTTTCTCGGTAGGACGGTGAATATAAATCAAGAGCCTGAAGTGCAGGGTAAATTAAGGCCTGGATCTTGGTTTTAGTCTTGACTTCTGGGTCACCTAGGAGCTAAAGAGTAAACATGATCTGTACAATTTGTTTCCTTTGTAAATGATAAAACAACTGTCAATAACATAGTCTATATGTAAGTTCATCACTTCAAAACACACCAAAGAAATAACATACATCACCATTTGGCAAACTCAGAAGTGTTTAAAGGGTATTCTAGAACTAGATGCTCCTTAAGTAGACATATGTTTAACTTAAGCAAAACTATATGCCTTGAGGATGATCTAAGAGGATCTAAGTAACAATTAGTAAGCATATGCCATAACTTTCAGCTTAAAATGATGTAAAGAAGCGATGACATACACATTTAACTTAATGTCATCATTGCTTTTATGCTAGTATAAAAGTATGCTGAAACAGACCAGCGTAAGTTTTCCCATGAAGAAAAAGAATCCTTGAAGTATTTCTGACTTCACGCGGATGCCAAAGTGACATGCTCTTGTGCAAGATTTGACAAAGCTTTTTTTGTGAGATATTCCATGCAATGATTATTCAATGCCAGGCCCAATATGCTAATATTTGTAAAGGTCAGTGGTCAGAAAAGTGTTATGTGTGAATATCAGAATTGAACCAAAGTAATTCATAAAAATATTTCTTCATAACTTTTGAATGTTCAGAATATATTCTTTAATTTGTGATTTTGTTTTCTAAATTTGCATTACACTAAAAATTATTATTTATGATTTCTCTATAAAACTACAGGTTCTGGATATACCCCCAAATTTTGTAATTTCAGAGATCTGTCTACTTTTTAATTATAATTTTCACAATAGATGATTTCTAATATTTTGAAAAACACTTATAATGATCATATCATGCTACCATGTTTTTAATGTAAATACATAAAAGCAGCCCTCAAACAACTCTGCCAGTTTAAAAGGTTTATTTTTCCCAACAGAGAGGAAGTGGATACTTAGAGAATGCTTAGAGAGAATAAGGGCGCTGAGCAAGAAGGCACTTAAAAATCAAGATCAAGACAACTCATGACTCCCATTTCTAATCTTTCTTGAAATAATATAGGAGTTTTGAATATGCTGATAATGTTTTCAAAATAGCCAGCTTACTTTGGTAAGGGAAGACTACTCCATGAATGATTATTGAACACACTTGAATTTCCAAAATGGTTCAAAGTCATTTTCTCTTCTCATTCACCTGACGGGTGTACTTTGCTAACACATATCAAAGTTCAACTCCATCATCTCCTCAGACTATGGTTATTTCTGGTAACCTAAACAACTAACTTGAAGCTAACATCATGTGATACAGCAGCTATTGTTGAATTTCTATAACTTTCATGAAATTTTGTATCATTTCTAATGCTTTTTTATACTATTTTTTATTTTATATATTTTAAGAAAACTATTAAGAGAAAAGAAAAAGAAAGTGAAAGCAACCTTGACCAGGGCAGGAATCGCCACCTTGGCATAGCTTCCAGCTTTAGTAATATTCTCTTCACTATTATACACATTGCTGCTTTTATATTGGCATGTATGTATTTATCTGCTTATAGGTAGACAATTCTGAAAAACAGAGGTGAGGGGCGTCCTACCTGCTGAGTCACTGCTGCAGCTAAATTCCCTCCTGCACTGTCCCCAGAAACGCAGATTCTCTCAGGGTTTACGCCATAACTTTCAAGAACAGTTTTGCGTAAGAACCACCTTAACGCATTATATACATCTTCAAATTGGACTGGGAAGTGATATTTAGGTGCTAATCTGTAGCTGTGGAGAGAAGACATGATTTTTTTGTCATTTCTTTCAAAGGCTAATTAAACAGATCTTGCCGATATGTACATGTAATAAGTGTCCAACATGGTGAACTAGAAACAAACACAACCACAAACCATGCAAACGACCCGTGCCTGCCAGAGAAGTGTTCAGATGTTCTTCAGCTCTTGAAGTACTCACTAACCGAATTTAATGACATCAACTGGTTTTGTATATGTTGCCCTTGAAATAGGTAAATGGCATATACACCTGGGCCCTTGGGTTTGGTTTCATCACCAGCTTTGAGCCCTGTGCACACTGCCGTGCGCTTCTTCTGTCTCCTGTATAATATACTCCACTGCAGGAATGCAACACGAATCACTTATCCAAAACATGAATGCATTAGTTACTCTCATTGCTGGGACAACACCTGACACTCAAAATGAGGGAAGGAAAGGCTTATTTAGCTCACAATTACTGGAGGTTTCAAGACACTGGAGGAGAGGCTGGGCACTACCATGTCCAGGATGACCCCTTCTACTCCTCTCAGAATGCACAGGCTAGGCAGTTTAAGCATTCATGCCTCTCTTACTCCACCCCTAGGCCCTGTCTCTGTCCCCACAAGCCACTCACTGCTCTTCCAGCCACCTCTGCCCCATAACTTACATGAGGCTTTGGTGGGGACAAGTTGACACAAACTATAACATTCTGCCCCTAGACTGATAGAAAACCTGCCTATAAAAATCAGGCTAGGAAGGTTTCTGCTGGGAAGAAGGACTGCTTTGGTTGTTGGACTCCAGATCATTTGTTTTGGCTTGGCAGAACATTTGTCTGAATTTTCCCTGTGTCCAGACACTTTGCCTGAGACTGAGATTAAACATGGAGGACTGATTAATCTTTCAAAAGAAATCCCAAATCAGTGAAATATTGAGACCGTGGGATGGCTGTTGTAGGGGATTTCAGTCAGATTTATGTGGAGCATCCAGTGAAAAGAGCCCAGCAGGATGATATCAAATATTCTGAGTCTGGTCAGAAAGGAAGCTCTAATAAAGCTGTGGAATGCAAAGACAGAGCTGAGCAGATCTCCATTGCCAAGAAGGAATAAGAGGATGGAAAGGATTGCCTGAGAGCATCATAGGAGGTGGAAGGATCTCGACCTTTGCAGTCTTAGAACCCCAAGTGTAAGAGACTTTTCTTTGAGAAGAAAGCCACAGAGCCCCATGTTCCAGAATGGAGGTGGTGGCCACACCAGGTTCCAGAAGGAAGAGGCAGCCACACCAGATTACAGAATGGTACTGGCAGAAAATTTGTGTCTCAGAATCAGGATCAGGATACACAGTGATCCAAGCACTTGACCCCTATACCCAAGAGCAAGGAAAGCCTGGCTATTGCTCCCACTGGCAGCAGGTCTTGGCATCATCTATGTGGTATTGGTTTTAGGTGCTTGCAGAATGCAGGTGTTCTAAGGTTCAGAAGGCTTCCACCCCAATTTCAGAAGAAGGTCTGGGAGGCCAGGAAGTGCCCCTGACAGGGTAGTGTGTAGAGGGAGTAAAACTGGTCTAAGAGAGAAGCCACGGGAGCTACCACCACCAGAAGAGCCAGAGGGGCGGAGCCACATGGAGCTCATGATTTCTCCCAGATTACTTTGGATGTTCCACATGGAGCTGTAGGACTCAATGTTTGCCCAGCTGGATTTTGGACTTGTATTGGCCCCAATGGCTTGTATCCTCCTGTGTATACATTTTGGAATGGCAATGTTTATCTTGTGCCTTTGAATCTTGGATGTATTTAACTTTTTATTTATACAGAGGCTCACAGTTGAGAGTTTGCCTTGGACCTTGGAGGAGAATTGGGATTGGACTTTTCAGCAATGCTGAAACTGTAGGACTTTGGCAACTGTTAGAGATGGACTAAAATGCCTTTTGGACAAAGAGATGTGAGTGAGACTTTGGGGGCCCAGGGGCTAAATGTTATGGATTTAGTCTGGTTGTCCCTGCAAATGCTCATGTAAGTTATGGGACAGATGCTGCTGGAAGACCAATGAGTGGCTTGAGGGGTGGGGCCAGAGGACTGGGTGGGTCCTGAGGGGTGGGGCCATAGAGGTGTGAACCCTTAGACTGTCTAGCCTGTGCTTTCTCAGATATGTGGAGAGAGTCATCCTGAAAATGGCAGCCTCTCCTACACTGTGTTGAAATCTCCAGCTACTGTGAGCTAAATAAACCTTTCCTTTCCTCATTTTGAGTGTCAGGTATTTGTCCCAGCAATGAGAGAAGAGTAACTAATACAATGAATAATTGCATTTATATGAGTTACCTAAAATGCTTAAATTCATAGAACCAAAAAGTAAAACATTGATTTCTAACGGCTGCTGAGAGGGACAAATAGGGAATTAATAATTAATGGATTCAATCAGGTAAAATGAATATTCTCTACGGATCTGCTTTAAAGTATTATGATAAGGTCAACAATAATGTGTTTGCACTTAAAAAGTGGTTTAGAAAGTAAATTGTATGTGTTCTTAGTACAATAAATATATAAATGATAATTAAGTAGGTAATGCATTCCAACTTTAAAAAGCCATGTGATTTGGGCTGCTTTCAATCTTGGCTTTCCAAATAACTTTGTGGAGATATTCTTGCATCTAGTAGTTGGTGAGCATCTACATTCCTGTAGATAGTTGTCTGTGGTGTTGATGTGTACAGTATTAAAATATGTGAACACTTTTAGATAGCAGTGTCAAATAATTTTTCCTTTACTCGTAGTTTATACAATTCCTTTGGTGTTCATTCTTAGCAATCTTTGGTATTTAAGGCCTTTTTGATCTTATGCACAATATCAGGTACAGAGGTATTATACGGTGCATATTATTTATATTTTGTTGTATACTAAATGTTCACATATTTATTGACAATTTGGGTATTCTGTTCTGTAAAGTCTTTCTTTTCTACTTCTAATTATTTGTATGTTTTGAATATGAAAAATATATTTGAATTTTAATACTTTTGTATCCATACAAATATAAAAACAGACATTTCCAGACAAATTTTCCTAATTAACATTGAGCCCTTATTTTAATATAAGTTTAATATACTTTATTGCCATACTATTTATGTGCCAGAACATTTATCATAGATATATATTTCAAGAATTTTTCATATACTTAATAATTTTCAGTGAACACCTAAATCCATTTGAGAACATCGCAACACTTAAAAAAGAACAAATAACTAAATTAACAGCCCTGTACCCTTGGCAGACATTTCTCACTTTCTGGTTCATCAGTTACCATCCTCATTCCTCCCTTACAGCTGCTGTGGCTTTTCCTGTCCAGTAACTTTCATACAAATGGCCCACACACAGTGCTGCCCTTTGAGACCAGCTTCCTCCACAGGACATGACACTTCCCAGACTTGTCCTTGTGTTAGTGCAATATTTCTTTTTAATAACAAGTAACACAGAACCATTCAATGTGTGGCATGATTCTACTATAATGCCAAGTGTACTAGCTCTCACTGTTCCTTTCAAACATAGATTACTGATCCAACACATTATTTTCCATTAACTCATTGACTTTTTGTAAAAAAATGTATTTGGCACAGGATTTTACTAATGCAGCTCAGACTATAGTGATCTTCCTGTTTCAGCCTCCCCAGCACAGGTATTACAGGCATGCGTCACCATGCCTGGACTCAGAAGCTGGCTTAGTATGCCAGGGGGTGGGGGCAGCATGGCATGTGGTACTGGGGATTGAACCCAGGACCCTGAACTTGCATAAGCAGGTCCTTAGTCTGCTGAGCTATCTCGCTGACCCTTCACTGGCTTTGTTCAATATGAGATGAAAATTTAATATTTTAAGCCAAGTGCTGGACACTAAGATAAGCTAGTTTCGAGAATATTACCGCTTAGTTTTCAAAGTGACTAACAAAAGTCACAAATATGTATTATGCACTTTTATAGATAATCTTCTGACTCCAGAAACCCTAACCTTAAGGAGCATAAATGAAAGATAATCAAAACCAAGTAGGTACGTACAATGATGACAGAATTTAAGCTTATGTAAATAAATTTTCTTTACTATCCCATTTTCCTAGCTGCCCAAATAATACCCATCAGTCTGTACAAATGTGCGTGCGAGTGCACACACACACACACACACACACACACACACACACACACATTTTGCTTTTCTCAGTGCTACCCAGTGTAGAACTAGCTGAACTCGCCTTGTATTTTAATTACCTGGGTGCTATATAGAAATATTTCTTTTGCAACAAATCAGCATTGCACACAGCCATGAGATATTCAAGACACTGGAGAGAATTTTGGTAGTTAAGGTGTTTGTACCCAAAGTAAAACAACACAGGCCTTACTTGACTGACACGACCACAGCATCAAGCCTCTCTGCCGTCCATCTTGAGAGCAGGTCATAATTACCTAAAGCTCAAATAAAAGAATTAAAGGCAAATGTTAGTCAGAATCCACAAAGGAAAGGAAGGATTTTTTAAACAAAAGTAGACTTTGCTTGTTTCAGGTTCTGGGGATTCTCTACATATTATATACTCGAATAGCAAAAGTAAAAATGTAATGCTGAAATAAAAATGTTATCCTCAGAAAGCCTTCACCTCAAACTTGGTGGGATTTCTCCCTGGACGTTCTAATTGCTCTTCTTTTCTTATACGTCTTTTTCTGCACATTTTGTTACTTGTCCTTGACCAGCAGCATTCCTGGAAGACTGAGCCCAGCTTTTGACTGGTACACAATATTTTTATTATTTATTTATTTTGTTTGTGGAACCTGGGATTGACCTCAGGCCCTTGCACTTGCCACGCATGTGTTTATTCTCCTGAGCCATCTCCCTGGCCCCCTGATACATGATATTGATTTGTGTGTTTTACATGCTACATACACACAGATAAAAAAGAAAAGTCACTCTTGATGCATGTGTGGGTGTGTATGTGACTCTAGTGGTACAAACACACTTTGGAAAATGGAGAACAGCCATCAGCATCTGTACGGGCACAAAATAAAATAAAATAAAATAAAATAAAATAAAATAAAATAAAATAATCACCTAAAATTAAATTGGATAAAAGATGTTGCCTTAAAAAATTGGAATCAGTTTTTTAGCTGTATCTGCCCTGCTAAGTTATGGTTTGCTTCTGTTTACTCTCGTCTAGAAAGAAGACTGTACGCAGTTTTGTTTGGTTTTCCCCCTCCATCTACGTTTAATTAATGTCCAATCATCCAAATCTTTCTCCTCACCTCCATTTCCTCTGTATTGTTTGCTTATTAGTAACAAACTGCTATCTTCTGTGTGCCACACAACTTCCTTAATTCCTCCCTCCTTATTTTGTAGTACTGATGACCGAAACTGGCTGAGATACAATCAAGTTCTTTTAAGATTATTTTATTTTGGGCAAAGGCTCACTGAGGTGCTCAGCTGTCCACGCTGGGCTCAAACTTGCACTCCCGCTGCATACCCTGGGCGTCCTCACTTTTTTTTTTTTAATTTATGAGAGAGAGAGAGAGAGAGAGAGAGAGAGAGAGAGAGAGAGAGAGAGAGAGAGTGGTGTGTGTGTGTGTGGCCAGCTCAGCCCACCAGGGGGCAGGGCTGGCTGGCATGTGGTGCTGGGGGATTGAACCGCGGTC